AGTGCGCCCTAAAGCGCCCCGGATCCGAGCTCCTCCATTCCTGAGGGGCTCGTTCGGGTCTCCGCTCGCGCGGATTCCCTCCTCCACCGCGGGCGGGCGAGACGACCTCGGGAGCGACCCGAGGATGCGTCCGCCATTCGCGGGAGCCAGACCAGAAGCCGCGTCTCAGTCATCTTTTCTGTCTGGCTAAGAAGCCTTTTTTTAAATAACAAACTGATAATGCTCTCCACCTCTCATGCTGGAACTCAAACTCTCAAAAACAGCCAATTTGAATACAAGAAGGCTTCTAGCCAGATAAAAATAGAGAATATCATGATGTTGGACTTTTCCTTGAATATGTCAGAATTTCTTAAGCAATACTGTCAAGTTTGAATAGATATACATATATACATGAATTATTAAATGTCATTTTTTATCACAGTGTTTCTTTGTTTTTTGGTATGTACCTACAACTGTGATCCTTTCCTTGTACTCAACCTCCAGGTGGGGCCTGGAGAACACCCGCTATTACAGTTGGTCTCCAGATGAGAGATTGGTCCCCTGGAGAAAATGGCTGCTTTGGAGGGTGGGCTCTATGGCCCTGTACCCTGCTGAGGCCCCTCCCCTCCCCAAATCTCCAGGTATTTCCCCACCCAGAGCTGGCAAACCTAAGTGGAGAGGCTTACTTCTTTGAGGAACTGGATACAATCCTTCACTAGGGTTGCCAGCCCCCGGGCCTCAGTGGGGGATCCCCTGCTTTCGGGGGCTTCTCCCCACCGTGGACTAGCTGGCCAGTGGGGGAAACCCCACCCCTAAACAGGGATGCGATGACATATCCCAGAAGTGACATCATCGGGTCAGGAATGTTGTGCAGGGACACTCTATGGTTTGAGGGCGAACTTACCAGAAAGTTTCACCCAAAAACCAGAGTGTTGTACTGGCATCGCGACACAATGACGTCACTTCCGGGCGATGTCATCACGTTGCGTGTTATTGTGTGATGTTCCCGCCCGCCCCTGGAACGCTATCTAAATCCTCAGCTGGATCAACGAGGGAACCTGGCAACCTTATCCTTCACACATATTCTTGCTGGAGGCTTACTAAAAAAATAGAGCTTAAACTTTAGAGCCTAAAATACCAGGAGAGAGCCGAGTCTCCCCCAACCCCATCCCCTATCAGGCCTAGGTACCTTTTTCACAAGGTTGATATTAGCTGGAATAAGATCCCATTGATTCTATTGGAGCAGGCTGCCGAGTGAGTTCATATAACGTTTCTCCATATTTTTAAGCCATAGCTGCTCCTATTACTACACTGTCAGTTTTATTAACTCCTGTCAAGTGTCAGGCGGCACGCAGAGCACAAATCCCCATAGTGCTATTTTTACGTGGCACATGGTTGTTCATAGGTGGTGCAGCAACGAATTCAAGTGGGGCAGCTGAGCCCGCCTGCAGCTGCCATAAATTCATTTGTCTTTAAGGTGCTGCAAGACTTCTTGTTATTGTGATGTAGTGGGAAGAGATTTAGATTGGGGAGTCCCCAGGTTCAAATCACTAATCACTCTGGGAACATTTTTGCGATAGTGAAATTCCCCGCGTTGACGTTTGAAAAACTGTGTGTTATGTGAGATTTTCTGCAGTACACGAGGTGCAAACCCAAAGTTTTCTCCCTCTTACCACACATTTTTTAAAAAAATCTTTTTATTGGTTTTTAACAATAAACAGATTTTAGTAACATTACATTCAAAGTGTCATATATGATTACCACACATTTTTTGAACTCGCTAAAACTCGGGATTCCGAAAACATCATGTAAGAAGGGGAAAACAGGTTTGCGCCTGGTGAGGGAAAATCTACTGTGGAAAGTGTCACATAACGAGCAGTTTTAAAAACGTCTATGTGAGGAATTTCACTACTGTGGCAATAGTCTGGGACAAACAAGGGCTTGGGTTTTTTGCATGTGAACTACCTTTTTAAAACATGGAACTCCCCACCCCTGATCGGAGTTAACTAGTTTAGCATACTTAGTAAATAGACTCTGAATTTCCCCCAGTTGGTTTTGAATTCCACATAATTAATGTTTTGCCCTGTGCTTCCTGCATTTCGAGGCCCTTTGATCCTGATCTTTGATGGCAGACCTCAAAATAGGTTTGCCAACCTCCAGGTGGGGCCCGGAGATCTCTTGGAATGACAACTGATCTCAAGATGACAGTGAGCGGTCCCCCTGGAGAAAATGGCAACTTTGGGAGGGTGGACGCTATGGCATTGTACCCTGTTGAGGTCCCAGTTTGGTGTAGTGGTTAAGTTTGGTGTAGTGGTTAAGTGTGAAAACTCTAATCTGGGAGAACCGGGTTTGATTCCCCACTCCTCCACTTGCACCTGGCTGGATGACCTTGGGTCAGTCACAAGCTCTGGCACAGCTGTTCTTGAAAAAGAGCAGTTTCTGTCAGAGTTCTCTCAGCCCCACCTACCTCACAGGGTGTCTGTTGTGGGGAGGGGGAGGGGAAGGAGTTTGTAAGCTGCTCTGAGACTCCTTTGGGTAGTGAAGGGCGGGATATAAATCCAATCTCCTCCTCCTCCTCCCCCCCAGGCTCCCTCCCCAAATCTCCAGAAATTTCCCAATCTGGAGCTGGCTACCCTACCCCAAAGTAACATGCCTGCAAGTCAGGATCTAATATCCCAGTTCTACTCCACAAAAGTTTAGGTGGGAATAAAACATTAGCCTTTAACTCCAGCCTTTAACTTAAAAGAGCCAAGTAGCTCAGGATGTGGCAGCTTGTTCCTTGGTTACATGATAAGGGAGTTTGGGCCAGGCCCATAGTCAGGATTTTATAATTCGGGGGGG